CCTCAGGAGGGCAACCTTGCCTAAACAATGCATTCCTTGCTAATAAATTCCTTTCCTTCCTTTCCTTTTTTTTTTTTCTTTTTTTGAAGATTTTATTTTGGGGGCGTCTGGGTGGCTCAGTCGGTTAAGCATCTGACTCTTGATCTCAGCTCAGGTCATGATCTCACTGTTCGTGGGTTCAAGCCCCGCATCCGGCTCTGTGCTGACAGTGCGGAGCCTGCTTGGGATTCTCTGTCGCACTATCTCTCTGTCCCTCCCCTGCTCGCTCTCTCTTTTCTCTCTCAAAATAAATAAATAAACTTAAAAACATGTTAAGATTTTATTTTTAACTAACCACTATACCCAATGTGGGGCTCAAACTCACAACGCCAAGATTGAAAGTCACATGATCCACCCACTCAACCAGCCAGGAGCCCCTCTTTTTTTTTTTTTTTTTTTTTTTTTTTTTTAATGCCTTCTCTCTACCTTTAAAAACCTTTCTTTTGTTTAGCTCAGCAGAGCATCTCCTTGCTAAAAGGGATGCTGCCCAATTCATGAATCAATTCATAAAGCCAATCAGATCCTCATTTTTACTCAGCTGAACTTTGGTGTTATTTTAAATACACCAGAGAGGGCATGGGAGCTCCATGCACACTGACAGCCGCCCGTCCACCCCTATATGTTGTCCTACATTCCTCTTCCATTTGGCTCTTCTGAGGGGCATCCTTCATTTAAAAAAATCACTAAATGTAAGTAAAGGGTTTTCAGGAGTTCTGATGAGCCGTTCTAGCAAATTATCAAGGGAGGGGTCATGAAGACTCTGATTTACAGCCAGAACTTTCTATCTAGTGTTTAATTCCCACAATCCTAACTAGGCATTAATACAAGCAGGAAAGGAAGTAAGCCTATATAGTACCTGGTTAGTGACACATTGGGAACTGAACACAGATCTGTCCTACTCCCAAAGTTTACTCTTGTTACTTTGTCTCCACTGCCTCAGTGACTAGGATTCCTAACACATTCAAGAATCAATGACTAATGTCCCATCTCATGACAAGCCCAGAAGAAAAAAGCAGTCATTTTCAAGTTCCATTAGTTACTTTATAAATCTGTAAGGCCTTTGGCTTTTCTAGAAAAGAAACGGGCGGCCTGAGCAGAAGGCTTGTGTATGCATCCAGGCAATCTCTCACTGAAGGTCTCTGACCTGACCCGTATTTACTAACAACCCCAGACCTTCAGGACCATTCCCACACCCCTCTGAGGTCACTGTAAGCTTCATTTGTAGTTGCAATTCCTCTGAATACCTGCTATTTTGCACCCCCCCCCCGGGCTTCTTCTAAACTCACGGGGTTTCCGGTGGTGTTGCCGCATCCTGACTGCCTCCCCCAGCCTCACTCTTGCTGCAGCTTCCGCTACCTGCCACTCTCAAGGGACTGACCTGATCGCATCAAGACTGTTATACCATCTGTCACCATGAAAAGCCATGAGTGTTTTACTCCCTACAGCATCTAAGCAATGGAAGAGTATTACTGGCCATCTCTTCCCATATTTTAAAGGATTGTTTACGAAGTCCCTTTGCAATAAATTCTATTTTAAAGTCAAACTAGCGTCATCACACTTTGTGGCTCAACATGCTTTTCACAAGTTACATATTGGCTGCGAAATCTCTACAGTGGATTTGTCCCAGCCAGCCTGTCCTATTACTGGAATGAGAACAGGAACTTGTCTTTCCGTTTTTTTAACGTAAAGCTCTATGCTCAATGCGGGGCTTCGACTCACAACCCCAAGATCAAGAGTCAAGTGCTCTACTGACCGAGCCAGCCAGGCACCCCGAAAACAGAAAACTTTTATGACTTCCAAAGATCTACAGGATCAAGTTCCAACTTCCCCACACGGCAGTCAAGGTCCTTCACTGTCTAGCACATTTTCCAGCCTTACCTTCTGCCACTTCTCCTGTAAACACTACTCTCAAACAACCAGACCCAGTCATCACCATCCAGTGACCCTGGACACTTCCCAACCCCTAGGCCATAAGGTAGTTTCTCTGTCGGAATGTCCTCCTCCACCACCTCTTAATGAACTCTCCTCCTCATCCTTCTCTCAAGCTCTCCAACTCCTTCACAGATGGTCTCTCCTCAAGGACCCCATATTTCTATTAAAAAGTTATTACAGAGCATTATATATATTTATTAATCTTACTCCTTAGACTCCTCTGCCCTTGAGGGTAGGGGCCATTACTATCACTATTTAATGTCTAATGCAAGCAGGAGATGAACTAGAAGGCAGGAAAAATGAACATTTCTGAAATGACCACTATGAGCAAAATGACTTAGATGGTTGTATTCATTTAGTAAACGGAGATCTACTAAGCACCTACTGCGTGTCTGCCAGTGGGTATGGAGGGTAAAGAAGGTACATGCAGTCCCCACTCTCTGTAGAGTTAGCAGTCTAATAAAAGAGACAGATTTATACAAAGTAAGCAAACAAAAGAATTACAAATATGTAATAAAAGCTCTGAAAGAGGCGACCAGTGCAATAAGAACTATGAAGGAACAGTGCTGTGAAACAGAAAATTAACAAAAGAACTAGAACTGGAAACTCCTTAATTAGAGATGGTAGTAGGCAAAGTACTTTTTTTTTTTTTTTTTTAGGGGGGAGAGAGAGAGGGAGGGAGGGAGGGAGGGAGGGAGGGAGGGTGGAAGGGAGGGAGAGGGAGAGAGAGAGAAAATAAATGAAATAAATGAATCCCAAGCAGGCTCCACACCCAACACGGAGCCCGATGTGGGGCTTGATCCCATGACCCTGGGATCATGACCTGATGATTCTGGTCAATGCAATCATGCAATGATTCTGGGGTGAGAAAGGCTTTTGCTCATTCAAAGGAATTCAAAGACCAGTGTGGCCAGAGCACAGGAAGCAAGGGGAGGCAAGGCCAGACGAGGCAGGGCACTTTATGCCACGGTGGAGACTTGAATTTTAATCTAAGAGCAAAGGCAAATGCAGTGATAGGGTGACTCTAAGTGTGACACGATTCAATTTATTTTCATAAGGTTTTGTTTCTCCTGCTGTTAAGTGAAGAACAGACTGGAGGAGAGCCACAAGAATGCAAAGATCACAGATGCTGGGACTGACTTCATTTCAGGCCAAATTCACCATCTGGTCCAGTGCACTTCATCTTCTAAGAGACCGCTGCCATTAAATTTATCATGCTTCTCATTCCTGTTTTCGTAAGTCAACATCCAGAGTGTGGTTTCTTGAAATCCCATCAATTCTGGGAGAGGCATTAATAAGATGCTCATTTTAACAAGGAATAAAACTGAGGTTCAGAGAGCTGACCGGGTTGCCTACGTCACCCACCTATTAAAAATAGGTTCCCTTCCAGTTTTGAATGGACCTTCAGCATTTGAGGGAAACAGGAGAACTACTACCATATACACAACAGCCACTACGTTCCATCCTGGAATTAGGGGAGAACGTTAGGGATAAACTGGATACGTGCTGATGAATGAATGCAAGGTCTTTCAAGGGGGTAAAGATAGGAAAGAAGTAAGTTACTGCGAAGTACGGTTGTGAAAAAAATATGTATCACCGTTAGCTATGTTTGGCAAACGAATATTTTTTAATTAGTATGGTCTATGAAAGAGTCAACATCCTTTGTCTCATTCGGTGGTGATAAATACACTGAGATGAAAAGGGAAACTAAAGCCTGATAAACGGCTCTTGTTCTCTCAATGATTTTTAGGATTAAATTTGCTCATCAACACCACCAAACTAAGCATAAAGAATAAATCTAGCAATTATAAGATTCAAAGCAGGCAGAAAGAAAGTAACTGAATTTACAGCTAGCATAACCTAATCTTGAAGTCTGTTATATTATTTTCAGTCCAAGTGGGTCAAAAACCAGAAACTACACACAGATTCCAAGACAATAGCAATCATCCTTCTACCTGGATTCCATCATCCCTTTACCAACCAAAGGAATGATAAGTAGGGATGATAATATCCGATATTAGGTAGGAGTTCCTATCCCTACTTGATTACCAACAAAACAAATCTGACTTTAAACAGCAAAGACATGGCATTAGCTAATTTCTGCCAATGTCTTAGCAGCAGCTGCCTAAATACAGGGTCCCTACACTTGAGCCAGCAGTCTCGCTGATGAGCACTTCTGTAAAAACACAGTCTACAGGAGTCCAGGGGGGCGGTCCCTGAAGAACATCACAGAAAACAAAAATATGTCCATATTTCCTGTACCAGCCAGGGAAAAATTTTAAATACAGCTGATCCTCTTGTAAAGTATCTCTCTATTGTAGAAAGATGCATCAGATCCCAAAACCTGATTAAAATCTGCATCCTTCCTGCCTGTAATAAACCTGACTACCTGAAATGGATGCACTAAGACCAGCATACAATTCATACCACGTAAGTAAATAAATAGACATTCTGGGCCGTAAACCAAGATTTTGCGAGACTGGAGAAGGACTTGGTTTTTTGGGCCTAATCAACGTTGGTGATGCAGAATGGGTGCTAAAGCTGAGTTTCTGGAAGCATAAGGTTGATGACTAATCTTGGACGGTGTTTGGTCAATGTGTAGTCGGCCCACACATCTCTATGACATTTCTACCTCTGTTCTCTGTAATTTCAATAAATATATAATAGTGTGCTAGGGATAGGGGCGCCTAGGTGGCTCAGTTGGTGAAGTGTCCGACTCTTGATTTCAGCTGAGGTCTTGATCTCAGGGTCGTGAGTTCAAGCCCCATATTGGGCTCCTCGCTGGGTGTGAAGCTTACTAAAAACCAAACAAACAAAACACCTGGCTAAGGAAAGAACATAAGCTTACTGGGAACTCATGATGAATTGTTAAAGGAACAAATGAACAATAAACTTAAATGGACTCGTCATTTTCTCTAAATCAAGTTGCTGATTTGCACAGGAGGGGGTGCTAAGAGACACAGAAACAGCAAAGTTCTTCGAAGTGCGTGTGCCGGTGTGCACGTATGCGTGAATACGCGTGTCCATACCTGCACTCAAGGCCATACCAGTACCGCGGTGGCAAATGGACATCGCCATGGGAAGCGACCAACTGCAAAGAAATACACAAAGGCAATTAAAAAAAGGAAAATATGACACAATAGAGAGTTCATTTAAAAAAAAAAAATTTTTTTTAATGTTAATATTTTTGAGAGAGAGAGAGAAAGAGAGAGACAGAGCTCAAGAGGGGAAGGGCCAGAGAGAGACAGAGCTCAAGAGGGGAAGGGCCAGAGACAGGGGGAGACAGAGAATCTGAAACAGGCTCCAGGCTCTGAACTATCAGCACAGAGCCCCATGCAGGGCTCGAACTCACGAACTGCAAGATCATGACCCGAGCCGAAGTCGGACGCTCAACCGACTGAGCCACCCAGGGACCCCAATACAGAGTCCATTTTGGCGAAGAGAAGATAAACTATTTGGATATAGGCACTATTTACATATAAAAACAAAAACAGCTTTTGCATTCTTGTTTCCACTTTCCAGTTTGAATACATGAAAACTGATTTATTTCAGGAGAAGCATCCCTCCCTTTCACCAGAAGGAAACTCCTCCTTTCCTAAGAAGGAACAATGTGGGTGGGTCAAAGACGCCAATTAAAGTTGCATCAAGTTAGAAAATAATCACCAGACTACAACCACCTGGGTCTTCCCTTGCTCTAGTCACAAGATTGGAGGAAAAGGAAAACCAAGTGAGTTTTGTTTATCTAGTTTCACAGAACACACAGTCACCCCTGAACTCTTACTATATGCCCGTAAATATTCAAATTGAGCATACCATTTACTCCCTGATAAATTACCTATCCCAAATTTTTAAATCCAATTTTCCTGGATTTAGTGTATGTTTCCTAATCCACGGTAGTTTTGAAATACTTTGTCATCAAACCCCTTTCTAAATCACGCTCTGAATCATTAATTTGCCAAAGCGTTTCCACAGAAGGACAACTAACACTGCTATATTCTGGACCTGGTTCTCATGCTCGAGAGAATTGGTTAGTGAAATGGAAAGAACAGAAGTCTTTGGATAAAGTGAACATTCACCCTAGAGAGTCAGCTTAGATAGGAAATGCTGAGCCTACTCAGACCATATTTTCAACACTCTAGAGGGAAGGTACCCAAGCAAGTTGAAAAAAATCTCAAAAAGAAATTCTAACTATGTAATGAAAATGGTCACAGTAAGAAAGGAGTAATGTCCAAAGAAACCAAAAAAACTGGCTAGACACCACTCTGCTTAACTCAGACTTAACAGGATAAATATAAAAGGCGGAAGAAGAGCCACATAACAAAGGACAAGCGGAGAACAATGACATAATTTGGTTAGATAAATCAGGAGACTAAAACCCAGAATGAGCTGAGGCTTGCAAAAATGTCAAGGACAACAAAAAGGGGCTTTTAAAATTGTATTCAGGGAAAGAAAGCCTCCTAACCGGGATGGACAATTTTATGTTAATAGATGACAGAGTACAAAGCAGATTGCTCAACTATTTTATTTGTCAAAGAGAATGATTATCAGACTGAAAAAGACAGAACAAATATTGATTTGAGAGAACTGAAAAAAACAGAGGTGGGGAAATTGTAAGACACTGCTTAGCATTCCGAATGCACTTAGGGCCCGTGGCCAGTGAATGAAATCCCATGACTGAAAGAGCTACCCGATAAAACATGTGCACTGCTCTGGTATTTAGACATACTGAAGTGGAAAATGGGAGTGATAGGAGAAACTGCTGAAGTCAAATGTTACCCTAATTTTCAAAAATGGTTAAAACCATAGCCTGGGTTAGCTTAGTGCTGAGTAGGTAAAGGAGATTTTATTTCCCAAACAACCACAGTCCTATTTCCAGTTTCACGTGACCTTCCAGAATCTTGTCACTCCTTATAACTCCTTGTAACTCAGGCAAGTAAGTGTTTAGCCCTTTGAACCTTCATGACTGACTGCCTCAAGAAACAGAATGTAGCAGAATGGACATTGCGTGACTTCCAGAACACACTCTCTCCTGCTAAGAGGAAGCCCAAATAGCCTATGCAGAGAGATCACGGAGAAAGACTCAGGTGGAGAGAAAATGATGGTGCCTTTAGAAGCCAAAATCAACCCAAGACATAGGAGTAAATGGATCTTCAGATTAATTCAGCCCCGGCCTTTGTGTTTTCTAGCTGAGGCCTAAATATCACAAAGACAAATCATTTCCACGATTTCCTGTTCACACATTAGGTAAGAGTCTAGTATAGAAAATCAAGATTGTTTTAATTCATTTACAGAAAAGATAATCACTAAGAGCCACTAAAATTTTCCCTTAGGAAATTTTTTTTTCAGGACACGAGATCCCTTTGAACACAGATGATATCTTATTCATTTCTGTATTTCCAACTCCTAAAAGAGTATCAAGCACACTGAACAATCAACAAATACTTGATTTGAAATGTATTCATTTTATTTCCTTTTTGGACTGCTAATACAATGCTAATCAAGGAAAAGCTAGAGACCTAGGATATATGAGTTTCAGCATGTGACTTAACAATCGTGCTGCAAATACTACCATCGACAAAGTAAACAACATTTCTCCAAGGAAGATATACAAATGGCCAGTTAGTATACGAAAAGATGCTCAACGTCACTAATCATTAGGGAGACACAAATCAAAATCACAATGAGATACCTCTTCACACCCGTTAGGATGACTATTGTTAAAAACAAACAAACAAAAACAATAAAGAATGAGCGTTGGTGAGGATGCAGAAAATTTGGAACCCACGGGCAGTATTGGTGGGAACATAAACCAGCGCACCTCCCGTAGGAAACAGTATGGCGGGTTCCTCAAGAAATTAAATCATTACCATATGTCCTGGCGGTTCAATTTCTGGATACAGACCTACAAGAACTGACAGCAGGGATTCAAAGAGGTAGTACACCGATGCTCACTGCAGCATTATTCCCAATAGTCAAAAGGTAGAAGCCACACAAATGTCCGTGGACAGATGAATGGATAAGCAAAATGCAATGTATACGTACACCAAAGCATCTGTTCAGCCTTAGAAAGGAACGGAATTCGGACACGTTCTACAATATGGATGAACCTAGAAGACATTGTGCCAAGTGAAAGAAGCCAAGCACGAGAGGACAAACGTTGTATGATTCCATTTCACAAGGCACCCAGAGTAGTCTAATTTACAGAGATAGAAACTCAGTGGTTAGGGGTTGGGGGTGGAGGCAGAGAATGGGAATTATTGCTTACTGAGTATGGAGTTTCAATTTAGGAATATAAAAGGATTCTGGAGATGGACAGTGGTGATGGTTTGTACAACAATGGTGAAGACATTTAATGCCACTGAACTGTATACTTAAAAATAGTCAAAATGACAAGTTTTGTATATTATGCATATTTTACCGCAATAAAAAAAATGTTGAAAAATAAGACAACCCAATTAAACAAATGAGCGTACGATTTGAATATTCCTTTCTCCAGAGAAGACATACAAATGGCCAATAAGCACATGAAAATCAATAAATGGATGTCGGAGAAAAAGTGTGCTTGGATTTATTTCACATGACTCAAGGTAAACCCAGAGCCACTGGATAGAAGACGTAAGTTGTAGCAACTTCTGCAGTGCGTGGGTGGCTCAGCCATCCTACTTCGGCTGGGATCATGATCTCATGGTTTGTGGGTTTGAGCCCTGCGTCGGGTTCTCTGCTGTCAGTGCCTTGTCTCCCTCTCTCTCTGCGCCTCCACTGCTCACTCTCTCCCTCTCAAAAATAAATAAACATAAAAAATTTAAAAATATAGTAAGTTGCAGCAACTTCAATAAAAGAAGGGTCTGATAAACAAAGAAATTCCCAAACTGGAAAAGGGCGGTAGGGAGTTCCTTGTATGCTAGAGGGGTATAAGCCCAGGCAGAGACAACCACGTGAAAATAACGCAGAAGAGATTCACTCATCAGGTACAACCGTGACTTTTAAACTTCTTTTCTGGTTTTTTTTTGGTGAGCAGCACCTTTCTTAAAATGCAAAAACCCAATACAGTGAAACCTTGGACTGCGAGTAACTTACTCCGCGAGTGTTCCGCAAGACGAGTAAACATCTCCAGTAAATTTTAACTTCATAAACGAGCGATGTCTTTCAAAACGAGTAGTATGTGATGTGGAACATCACATGATCCCAAATGAGCTAACGGTTCCTCTCTCTCTCTCTCTGCAGGATTGTGAGTGATAGTCTCCCATGCTCAGATGCTCAGTCTCAGGCCACGGTGTTTGGCAGAAATCGGTAATTTTTTTCAGATTGTTGGAAGGTGCCCACGCTGGCACCACTGTATTTTTTGTCACTTCAAAACACCTATGGGCAGTCCTTTGCTTTTCCATCCAAGAGTAAGCTTAGGAATGCTTTGCTTCATTCTAGGTCAGGCTGCCTGCAGATACAGACCTTTTCCTCTGCTGCCTTATGGCCAGTTACGTTAAATACAGAACATGACACGAGTTTATTAACACTGTACTGTAGGGGCGCACAGGTGGCTCAGTCAGTTGAGTGTCCGACTTCGGCTCAGGTCATGATCTCACAGTTCGTGAGTTCGAGCCCCACATCTCAGCTGTCTGTGCTGACAGCTCAGAGCCTGGAACCTGCTTCAGATTGTGTGTCTCCCTCTCTTTCTGCCCCATCCCCACTCATGCTCTGTCTCTCTCTGTCTTAAAAATAAATAAAACATTAAAAGAAAAATTAAAAAAAAAATACTGTACTGTAGCCAACATCCATTGGTGATAGTGAAAGACGTCCTACACAATAACCCACCTCTCTCTTGTCTCCCTCCCACCAGCCATGAAGGTTTGGAAAGGAAAGTGCACGTTAGTTTATTTTTCTTTATACTTTGTATTTTCTTTATTATTTGGTACTATGTTACAGTATTGTAATCATTTCTTTATGAATATTTTTGGGCTGTAGAACAAATCATTTGAGCTTCCATTATTTCTTATTGAGAAATTCGCTTTGATATACAAGTGCTTTGGATTACAAGCATGTGTCTGGAACAAAGTATGCTTGTAAACCAAGGTTTTACTGTATGTAAAACAGATC